ACTTAAAAAAAAATTGTGAATATTTTGATGAGAATTTTTAAGAACTCAAATGAGAATCTTTGAGTTTCAAAATAAAAATCTTTGAGAAGTGAAAATCTAAAGTTCGTCGAATGTGAATCTTCGAACAAATGAAAAGTTTTGAACTTTTGGATGTGAATCTCCAAAATACAAAGCTTCATCTTTTGGATATGAATTTCTAATGTTTTAAATGAGAATCTTGGAACTTAGATGTGAAACTCTAAGTTTTATTGCATGTGAACCTTTGAACTCAAATGAAAAGCTTTGAATTTTTTGATGTGAATTACCAAAATTCAAATGAAAAGCTTTAGATATTTGGATATGAATTCCAAGTTTGCCAAACGAGAACCTTTGAAAAGCCTTGAACTTTTAGATGTGAGTCTCCAAAATTTAAATGAGGATCTTTGATGCGAGTCTTGCAAGTTGCAAATGCAAATCTTGATATCTTACAAATTTGAATGAAACTGAAATTTTGATAATCAAATTTTAGTAAATTCTTACGAAATTGAAAGGTTCTTACGAATCTAAACCTATGAATGTTGAACTCAAATTGTGAATCTTTGAGTTTCCAGTATAAAATTTTTTTCAATCACGATCTATAACTCCTTTGGACATGATTATCAAGAAGCAATTTTCTTTTCAAAGTCGTAGTGCCTCTGTTTAGAGGAGCAATTTATTTTTCAAAGTCGTGGTGCCTTTGTTTAGAGGAGCAATTTATTTTCCAAAGTCATGGTGCCTCTATTTAGAGGAGCAATTTATTTTTCAAAGTCATGGTACTTTTCAAAGTCGTGGTGCCTCTGTTTAGAGGAGCAATTTACTTTCCAAAAGTCGTGGTGCCTCTGTTTAGAGGAGCAATTTACTTTCTCAAAGTCGTGGTGCCTCTGTTTAGAGGAGCAATTTACTTTTCAAAGTCGCGGTGCCTTTGTTTAGAGGAGCAATTTACTTTCTCAAAGTCGTGGTACCACTGTTTAGAGGAGCAATTTACTTTTCAGAGTCGTGGTGCCTCTGTTTAGAGGAGCAATTTACTTTTCAAAGTCGTTGAGCCTCTGTTTAGAGGAGCTTTGAAAAAAAAATAAAAATAAAACAAAAAAACGTAAAAAAAATTACCTCTATTTAAAGGAGCTTTGTTTATGTTTCTCAAAGTCGTTGAGCCTTTGTTTAGAGGAGCTTTGATCAATTTAAAAAAAAAAAAAGAGAGCAAGAAAACAAAAAGAAAAAGTTGAGCCTCTGTTTAGAGGAGCTTTTTTTATGTTTCTCAAAGTCGTTGAGCCTCTGCTTAGAGGAACTTTGATCAAAATTAAAAAAAAAAGCAAAATAAAATAGGCAAAAAAAAAATAATCCAGTTGAGTCTTGAATGGGTGTCTACGTCTTTGCACAATTTTTGTTTCACAAAAAATGTGCAAAGAAGGACAGCTGTAGACACCCCATTTTGTCCGGAGTCTTTTGTCAATTAAAATCGATCAAAGCTCGATTGTAAATTTTTTCATTTTTTTTATTTATTTTTATTTCAGATTTTTATTTCATATTTATCATTTTTTTATTTTTATCTTATGGTCTACTTATTGTTTATTTTCTTTTTCTATTTTTATTATCTGATTATTTAAAAAAAAAAGATTGAGATTAAGTTTGATGATGATCAGAAAGGATAATTAGATGCTAATCTTTAGCATTGGATAACTAATGGGAATAAACCGAAACACAATCACTTGGTTTTATATATCATTACAATTCACAGTAATAGAAAAATAAAAAAAAGAATAGAAGAAAAAATTCGAATAGGAGAGAGAGGGAAGCAAAAACAAAGGGGGAAGCCTCCGTTGCCGCTAGGCCCTCAAGGCCTCTCTTTGGTGGGTGACCTCTCCATCCATGACCCAAAAAGTTATTAAGACCAAGATTTGTCCATCTGATGGAATTACTCCAGGTTTGAGGGGAAAGAGACCTTCTTGAAGATCTGGAATGTCTGATGATTGGATTTTCTCGCATTCATGCTTTCAGAAATAGGCAAGTTGCTTCAAGAAGAGTTTCAGCTAACAGTTGCTTGGATGGTGGGTCACCCAAAGTTTTAGTCGTCGTACCTGGACCAGGTTCTGGAAAACACGTTGGAAAATACGCTCCATTTTGTTACGTCGAGCATTGTGTATGGCTAAGATGGTGGAATGTGCAACTGATCCTCTTTTGGCTGCTTTTCAGAAGCTATGTCCAAGGATTTACAAGCTATTGAATAATCAAAATTTTATGGCTAAGGCTTCCTTTTTACCGGTAGTGGCGAGTTTGTCACAGGTGGGAGCAATTGCACCTCAAAGCTTGGAATCCTTGCTACAAAGCATCCATGAACGCTTTGGAAGCACAGATTGGATGATGCGAAAGGCAGCATCTGATGTCACAGATGCAATTACAATCTATTCAGCTGCAGCAACAATTGGGTTTGCAACAACAGCCCAATCAATTACACCAAAATATGCAACCAAGGATTCACGTATCAGGCTTGGAGTTTTTAACAACAAAGCTTCGTGTTGTTCGAGCAGTTGTTGTCCTTAGAGTTATGTGGAGGTAAACTTTCTGAGGGGGTTTTTGTTTGTGCATTCCTATCTACGTATTCTATAGCAGTGGTTTCAAAATTTTTGATGGAAAGGAATGGTATAAGTGCCCTTCATGGTCAGGCGACAATTTAAATTCTTATCCTATGGGACTATGCTGTGGGTTTGCTGTTTACTTTACTTCCAGTTCTAGGTGGCAGTTCCGGTGTCCTTCAAGGAGTACTATCCATGACTAAATCGTTGACTAAAAAGCTCTATCAGTTGGCATCCGCCAGCATTTTACTTGCTTGTTGCTTGGTGATGAGCTGGGTTCATTTGCTGCTAGAGTGATGATATCAACCTTTGATCTGAATCAGCATACACTCGAACAAGTTGAGCAATCCGTAATTACTTTGCTGCTCTCTTTCAGCCATTATTGGGATGTTGATTCATGTGCATTTCCTTTGGAATCACGTTAACATATTGATAGCAGCTGTAATATTAGTAATTGTTATTAAAACAATGGTAGTTGCTGCAGTTGTTAAGGGATTTAGATACAGCAACGAAAACAGCTGCATGAAATGGATTATATAAATGATGTGAACATGAGATAGGGAATCGGTGTTAGTCCTGGGGTTCTTCAAACAAATCTCTCAAGTGGCCAACTTCCAGGTTATTCTTATGAGCATTCAAAACCAAGTGCCTAATTTCATACATCTTCACCCCTACTCTTTCAGGCTCCATTTGTCTCACCTACTTCAACCCTGTTGAGTCCATAGGCACAACAACAGCTGCAGCAGCCAAACATAATAGGACAATGACAAATGCTACAAATATACAGCAGAATTAGTTAATTGGACAATCTAGTAGAGCCCGTCGAATTTTTCAAGTCAAGATAATTTTTTTTTGGTATTTTATTTATTTATTTATTTGTTTTTTTGTGTTAGTTATTTTCAGGAGTATTATTTTTATTTTTTTTACAAAAAATAAAAATTTTCAAAAAGAAATATTTTTGAGAAAAAGTTGAAAGTATCAATTTTCTTCGAAATTAAAGTTTTCAAAAAAATATTTTTAGGAAAAGTTAAAAGTATCAATTTTCCTTAAAAATAAATTTTCAAAAAAAAAAGATTTTGAGGAAAAGTTGAAAGTATCAATTTTTCTTGAAAATAAGCTTTCCATAAAAAAAATATTTTTGAAAAAAAGTTGAAAGTATCAATTTTCCTTAAAAATAAATTTTCAAAAAAAGTTTTTAAGAAAAAGTTGAAAGTATCAATTTTCTTCGAAATTAAAGTTTCAAAAGATATTTTGAGAAAAAGTTAAAAGTATCAATTTTTCTTGCACAAAAACAATCATTCTTTTCTTCCTTTTTATTTATTTATTTATTATTTTTTTTAATGTTAAATAATCCGACGATAGAGCCTCTGCAAGTGAAACAATAATTTTTCTTGCATACTCCTGAGGTGAGAAAATTTTTTTAATTTTATGCTAAAAGTATTAGAGTCAATTGAGAATAATTTTTAATAATTAATCACTTGATAAATTTTAAGGCTCATTGGATAACACAAATTTAAGCTGGTACCATCTTTTGATGGGCGTTGTGAGGGTGCTATAACCTTCCTCACACGTAACCGAACTCTCGAACCATGTTCTGATTAGTAGACCTGAACCTATTCTTTTAGGACCCTTAAACTTAGGTGTTTTCTGAAAGGCTAGATTCCTTAGGTGATCAATCGCACCTAAATAAAAAAAATTGTGACTACTCTTTCAAGTCAATGTCTAATAATAGATTCCGAATCTAAACATTATGACAACTAAAATTATAAAAGAAAAAAAATCACGTATTGAACACCTCTCTTTTTTTCCTTCTTTTTCACGTCTCACCATCGCTATTGTCTTCCTCCTACATTCATGATCATTTAGCGGGCACGTTTCTAAATAATGGTGATTATTTCATTCCTACTACCTTTTTTTTTTTTCTCAATTTCTTATCCTTCTTCGTCTTATCTCACATTTTACCAACCCATTTTTTCTCATCCCCGAATGTCAAATTTTCTTTTAATTTTTCTTAATTTGCTCAAACCAACTTCATTTATAATTTATTACAAATTTTGATATGTAATTTTTTTTTTCATTCCAATGATTGCTTTAAAAGCGAAAGAATGAATGAATTTTTTTTTTTCATTGTAAACTTAGTAAAAAACCAAAATTTTTAGAATTGAAGGTTGTAGCAAAGATTGTGATTAAGCAAAAAAAAAAATATATATATATATAAATATATATATATAAACACTTTAAGGAAAAACTCTTTAAATTTGTTTTTTTTTTTTAAGTAAGTCTACAATTTTCAAGTTTTTTCTTTTCTTTTTATTTATTATTAATATTAAAAAAAGAATATTTTAGTTATTTTATTGTTAACAATATTAAAGAAATATTAAATTATCTCTTTTTATTTTTATTTTTATTTTTTTTAAAGAATTACACCAATGAGCGACAAAGTAATTTTAACTTTCCATTTAAACTTTTGCTAAAAGGAAAGCCAATTTTTTAAATTAAAAAACAAAGATTATACTTACTAGAAATCTAATCTCGTTGTTTTCTCACAGACTGGAGGAGAGAATAGAGAGAGAAAAAAGCTCAAAGCAAGAACTCAGGAGAGATCTTCAGCCCAAAATTGCTCTCTCCCGCTCTTGATTTCTTCTTCTCTAGATCTGCAATTTTATTTCAAAAATAAATTTTTGTTGTTGTTGTTGTTGTTGTTATTATTATTATTATTATTATTATTATTATTCGTGATTGAAAAGAAAAATGCTTGATTCCTTTTCATGTTATTAGATTATAGTCGTCAGATCCTTGTTCAAAATCAACGCTTTTTTTTTCAGAAAAGCGGTCGATATTGACGAAAATTCCAAATTAATTGAAGAAATTGAAAAAAGGGGTTTTGTTTAGTCGTAGTATGTGAGTGTGGGGATGGGGTCAGGCAAAGGCGCGACGTGTTCTTCTCAACAAATGGATACGTCGATTGAAGGCAAGTTTTTTACTTTTGTAATTCTTTTTTCTCCTGAAAATTTGATTTTTGTTACTATTATTTTTCCTTTTCGTGTCATTGGGTTTTTTTTTTTTTTTTTGCCCATTTAATTTTATTTACGAACTCGAATCAAGTTGGGTTTTTCCTAGATCTCTTGTTGTTAATGAAATTTTCTAGTTTATTAATTAGATTAATTATGATTTAATTGTTCTAAAAATCAATAATTAAGTTAACCGTGTCCCTCTAGAAACCGGTTGATTAATTATTAGAACGAATGAAACGAGCTCAATGTATAAGCAAGACTAGAAATAAATGGAGTTTGGGTTTGATGGTGCAAGAAGGCAAGTGTTGAATACTTTTTGAACATTAAGGTTCAGGGCTTGTGCATCATATATTATATAGATTGCCCTTTTATTTTCTGGTAAAGATGCATAAAGAAAAAAAGAAATAGTGTAGCATTTCTTTTCTTGTGTTATGAGGGTGTGTCAATTTGTTGGAAGATTCACTCTATGTTCAATCTTTGATTAGCGGGGAAGTATGGTTTATCTTATGGCAGGTGCTTCTGTAAATTGTGGAATTGAAAATTTTCCATCTTGAGGGGTGGTTTTTTTTGGTGCAATATGTAGTTTTGGGAGCTTTGGTGTTATATGGATTTGGGTTCTTCCTGCAACAATGTAGGGGGAGGAAGAAAATAGAAGCTAAGTTTGGATTGATAATAGCAAGTACTTGGAGATTGTGACGTAGGTACTTAGGACTCATTTTGGTGTGTCCAGAAAAAATGGTGGAAATATGCACCCTCATGTATACATTTTCTTTCTGGGTTGATTCTCTACCAATGGTGAAATCGTTGAATCATCTATTTTATCTATGCTGTTGTATCCATTAAGTTTCTGCACAAGAGTGGGATATCTTAATCTCCTCCATAAGATTGGTTCAAAATTCTCTTCCCTTCTTGTTGAAAGTAACCATGGCTTGATTCTCTCTTCCCTTCATAAGATCAACATGAAACATATAGATCAATTTGTTTGCTTTTTCTTGTTTAAATTTTGGATTTTATAGAGAAAAGAGCCATGGCTTTCTTAATTAAATCTGTGTAGAGTTGTGAGCAAACCATCTGTGAAATTGGTACAGATCCATATTATCAATGTTCTATAAAGTTGACAGCCTTTTTTCGTAATATTGGCAAGTGCAATGTTGCTGTTTAATCAGTTTATTTGCTTATGTGAGATTCTGTTCTTAGAATATATAAAACTCCTATACCTAGTAGTTAGTGCAGGAATGTTTGTTGTTTTTGTCATATAATTGATTTTTGTTTCCTCTGTAAATGAATTAGAAGTGGATATGACAGTTTCCTTTATGCAGGCATGTTAAATAATATGAGCTTTATTTTGATGCTTAGTATAAAGAGAAAATGTTGAGCCATTGAGTTCTTCTAAACCCACAGCTGATAGACTTGTTAAATTTTGCAGATCTTCGTGAGAGACATCGGCAAGAATTAGAAAATTTAACATTGACAACACAGCCCTTCAAAACATTAAGGCTTTTCATTCTGGCTATCTTTCAATATTGTAAGCAATCAGTATTATATCTTTTGGCAAAGGGTGGTTGGCTTATGCTTTTAAGCTCTCTAGTAGCAGCTCTTGGAATTTTGCTTATGACTATTGAGGGCCCTCATGAAAAGGTAATTAAATTTGCAGGTTATCCTAGTATTTTCATCTGTCTTTGTTATAGTTTTCTGTTGATGTACAACAAGCATTTGTATATGATTGAGAAGCTTTTTTTTATTTGTTTAGAATTGGTGATTGTTGTGCACTATCTGCTCCATTTACCTATCCAATTGAGAAATGCAAAATGGCCCATTATTGGTTTGTTTCGTTGGCGTCTTGTCCTTGGTTGCTGTATTCCTTTCGTTTTTTTTTTTTTTTGGGGGGGGGGGGTTGGGGTACTGGTGGGTAGGGCTCTGGTAGTTCTTATTGTCTTTTAATGAACCATATGTATTTGAACCTTTTTATTTTCTATGGTGATTATGATAAGTTTGTGCACATTATTTAGTTGAAATAATTTCTGTTTCATTCTTATTCTTCATCATTTATTCTGACCAGATTAGTGGAAACAATAATTAACAGTTGATGTTTGATTACATTTTTCAACAGCATGTCCAGGAAGCATCTCGGTATGTTCAGTTTGGATTATGGTGGATTGCACTTGGTGTTGCATCTTCAATTGGTCTTGGTAAGTCATTGATTTCATGATCTTTTATGATGTCTGGAGGAGTATGCTTGATAAATAAAGCATGATTAATCAGCGATTTTCTGTTGCTGATATAGCAGTATAAATTATAGGCCATTTAAATTCTTCTTACTAACATTGGCTGACTAAGCAGATGCCAAATGGTATTTATGGAAATGTTCAATTTCTTCTGCATTGAAACTTAGGTCTAATCTTTTAGATGGGTTTCTTTCTAATTATTGTTATCTTTTAATTTTTAAGTGACTTAGGTCGCCATGATCTGTTTTCATCAAATCTAGCCCAAAAACAAGCTAACTGCGATAATTTTAGCATTAGCAGTAGCACTTTAATGATTGTTTCCAAGATTGTTGTGTATGGTGTACACATGTGTTTTAACCGTTTTACAGGGATGAAAGAGAGGAAATCATTTTGTCTGGTTTCTGCTATGCCTATATTTGTGCCAATGGAAGTGTTCGGAATCTGATCTGATTAAATGTTTATACTGCTCTGTTATTATTTTGCTATGTTTTGGGGCACCAAAAGAAATATGCCTTGATCTGATTTGTTATTTTTCTACTTCACCTTTCCTATTCCAGGATCTGGTCTGCACACTTTTGTCCTTTATTTGGGTCCTCATATTGCCTTGTTTACAATAAAAGCCATGCAATGTGGACGAATAGACCTGAAAAGTGCTCCATATGATACGATACAGTTGAAGACAGTTCCTTCTTGGCTGGACAAATCCTGTGGAGAGTTTGGGCCCCCATCGTTTTCATCATCACATGGGTCAAGGGTTCCTATTAGCAGCATCCTGCCGCAGGTGCAGATGGAGGCTATCTTGTGGGGTATCGGGACTGCACTTGGAGAGCTTCCTCCTTACTTTATCTCAAGGGCAGGTATGAGTACCATCTCTTAGATGTGATATATTTTATTACAATAACAAGAATTGCTAGAAGAGTTTGTTTATGATAGCTGGTGAAGGCATTTCTGGAAGAGTCCCCAATCTTGTTTGCATTGGGGTTGATAAATGATATAATAATGACTTAGGATCTAAACGTTGTAATGGACCTGTCCTTGCAAAGGAGTTCCTTGATCCCATTTGTTCGGAGATATTAAGAAACCCATCTTTTTATTTTCGTAACCCTCTAAGAAAATGGGTTTAAAGTTCTATTGTGGAAATTCCATTTTCCTTTACAATTAGTAACGTAGGAAGAAGTCGCAAAATCCCATAATTTCCAATCAATTCATTCAATATTTCCTTTTTTAGAGGACAAATTCTCACATTTAAATTATGTGTTAGATGTACTAATACCTTACCCCATCCATCTAGAAATCTTGGTTCAAGCCCTTCGCTACTGGATAAAAGATGCTTCTTCTTTGCATTTATTACGGTTCTCTCTCTACGAGTATTGTAATTTGAAGAGTTTTAATGTTTGAAGTTTTCCTTTGATTAATAACATGAAGTTTTAAATGTTGTTTCTTGATGAAATTGGCTTGACTTTGCAATGTAGTTGCCTTCTTTCACTTTTGACTCTGTTTTGGTAGGTGATTGAATTTTCTATGTGAACTTTAGGGTTGCTATTCTTTGTCTGAATGTTGGTTGTCTACTGAAGATTGTATATCCATTTAGATTTTCTACTTGTACTCCATACTATTAAAATATCCATCTTACATTGATCTTCTGCTTTATGCAGCTAGTCTATCAGGTAGCAAATTTGATGCCCTGGAAGAATTAAATTCTTCCTCAAGTGAGGATAATGGAGTCATTGCTACTCACCTAAAACAGATCAAACACTGGCTGTTATCCCACTCCCAACATTTGAACTTCTTCACCATTTTAGTGCTTGCCTCGGTCAGTTGTAATTTTTATCTTTTTCATTTCATAGCACTACATTTTTGAACAATGCCAAATATTATGCAGCATTAGACATTTTCGTTTTAGTGCATATTGTTTGTCTGACTACGATATCCCTGTTTTTTGTCTGCATGCACATGAACAAAAGCACACTTAAACCTGCACACCCTCACGCACTTGTTGACCTAAAAATATCAATGTTCTAATGCATTATCTCCAGAGTAAAATCATACTTAAATGATATCCATTCTGGTAAAAGTTTCTCATGCTGCAAATTTTTGTTCCTAAGATTTAATGTGAAAATTTCCACCTATCAATTATGAAGTGTGGTATTATTTTTTGATAGCATAATGGAGAAACCTGAATGGTTTTTGAACTCTAAGCCTTGTTAATTATTTTCATTTAAAGATCATATAAATTGACCATGGTTTATAAACGCTATTTATGCCATTGTTGATTGATGTTACCATGTAAACCTGCTGATGAACTGAATTATGTTTCAGGTCCCAAATCCTTTATTTGACCTTGCTGGCATCATGTGTGGACAGTTTGGGATTCCATTCTGGAAGTTCTTTCTCGCAACATTGATTGGAAAGGCAATTATTAAAACTCACATACAGGTTTGTGATGTTCTCTTTGTGTTTTACATGCAAAAAGAGTCTCAGTTGACTTCACTTTTTTCTGCTTCTACTCAATCGAGCTGTTTTGTGTTTATACTTCATTGTTTTGCTTTTGGTATTGGTATTGGCATTGGCATTGGCCAAAATGTCTCAACTCTCAAATGATTTAGGTTGAATTGACTACTGCCAGAGAATGACAACCTTCTCTGTTTCCTATTGTCTTGATGAAGCTAGATTTTCCTGATTCTTATTTTGCAAGTCCAGCCTGCTCAAGCATGTTTTAAGTACCTATTTGATTCTTTTTCTGCAGACGGTTTTTATTATCTCTGTCTGTAATAATCAACTCCTGGACTGGATAGAGAATGAATTGATTTGGGTGCTTAGCCTCATACCTGGATTGGATGCTTTCTTGCCCACACTCACAGCAAAACTCCATGCAGTCAAAGAGAAGTACCTGGCCACCCCACGTACCATGCCTTCAAATATTAAGGTACTCCATTAAGCCAGTACAAAAGATCTATCCATTTTAGAGTGAGTTTAACTGACTAGCACCCACTATGGAAATAGAGCCTAGTCAAATCTGACAATTATAAATCTGCTCTACAAAATTGTGCTGCAGGAGAAGTGGGATTTTTCGTTTGCTTTGATCTGGAACATTGTTGTCTGGCTTATGCTCATAAACTTCTTTGTCAAGATTGTCAATGCAACTGCTCAGAGGTATCTGAAGAAGCAGCAGGATAAGCAGCTAGAGGAGAAGTTACCTGCTTCGACACGATCAGATTAGGAGTTTGACTGTTTTTGTTTCGATGAAGTGGCTACACTGCTCCGCATCGTCCTTTTTTTTTTTCTTTGTTTGCAAGTAGCGTAAGTGAACTACAAGTTAATGCTCATTCATAAATTACCATTGAAGTTACTTCCATGTTAGAACTTGTATAGAAAAAAATAGGAACACGGACAGAACACAGACAAGAGAAGCTACAGGTTATCTATCCTGTCCTGTGTAATGCTGGGGAAATCATTGTTTCGGGCTGTTCTTCTGCCATTATTAAGTACTGTTTGAGGTGGGAAATTTGGAATCTCGTTATTCTTTGGCAATCCAAGAAAAACTATCTGCCTTCCCTTAAACTCCCAGCTTTGCGTTCTATCTCCAGTCATTATTGCATTATATGCGTATGAAAGATTTTCCTGATTATTGCTTCCAAGTTCTAGAAAATCATTATTCAATTTGCATTAGTGGGGATATGGTAGGCATCTGGCTTCCACTTTAAGCTTTTAATAATACTCAAAATGTTGTAAGAAAAAATAGCATGATGTCATCAATATTGTCATTTATACAATAAATTTCAACTTTTAACTGAATTTTAAGTAATAAAATAACAGACAGACAACATTGAAAACATTGGAGTTTGTGTGTGCTTGACTCTGAACTCTGGTCTTTAGCCTTACAAGGTAATAAACTAACGTTAATCTGGGAGTTGATTAACTAATAAGGAGGTTATGGCCAACTAAAAGACAATTCACAATTGTCTTGTTTATGGAAAAATGAAATTATATTTTGTGTTGAAAGAGGCTGAATAAAATATTGAATTAGGAGCAATGACCTAAACCTCCATTAACCAAAAATTCTCCCTTACACCTAAAGAGAATGAAGGGAATTATAGAAATAGGGTTAAGATATTAAAGACATTAATTATTTTATTTTTAAAATAAATTTTTATATTTTTTTATACTTAAATAAATTTTATCTTTTGATTTATATTTAAATAAAATTTTATTTAGATTAAATATTTATTTAAGTATAAATTAAAGATTAAAATTTTATTTGAATACAAATTAAAAATTAAAAATTTATTTGAATGCAAATTAAAAGTTTAAAGGTTTTTTTTTTATTATTATTTTTTTAGCCTAAAAATAAAGTCTAAAATACTTTTATTTTTTTAATATACTTGTGAATTAATTGATGCTAATTATGATACAGTGTTGTCATTAAGCATTCATAATTTATGCCAATCTGGCCTAAAGAATAAAAAACAAATAATTATTTAATGTATTTGGCTTTTGATAATCATGATTTGAACAACCTGTCCATACAGAACTGGCATTAATTTGTTGGCATCGTAAAATATTTTTGAAGCAACATGATTAATTCACTTTCACCAATACCTAAGAGGAGAAACATTATTTGTTAGACCAAGTTTCTGGTGTTTTTAAAAGTTGGAGACTGAGAATATATCAAAAATCACAATTTCTAAATTATCCTTAAATTATTAATATATATTTTATATATTGGCATTCGTGGAGAATCATTTCTTAGAATAACGACAATTATTGAATTAGAATAAATAAAATTTCATGTATTAAAAAAAGGCTTGGGAGTGTGTAATGCTTTAAAATATATAAGGAGAAAAGGTTTATCTACATAAAATATTGGTTTGCTTTTTTTTTTTATAATTCACTTTTCCCAAATAATATTGACTTTTTGGATTGCAAAATCTTGAATTGATAAAAAAATTTGGCCAGTTTAATCATGTTAATTGATAGTTATTAAAATGAAAAATGATCTTAAACAACTTGCATTTTGCTTGATATCTGAGTTTTTGTTTTTTTTTTTTTTTACTAATTTTGCTTGATATTTGTTAAATCAATTATGATTGCTTAGAAATTAAAACTTAATTTAATTTAATTGATTCATATAATTATTTTTAAAAAAAATAATATTTATTAAATTTTAATTTTAGTTTTTAATACTTTCAATTATTTTATTTATTTTCGAACCTACAACTTTTTTTATAAAATTAAAAAAAAAAAAAAAAACCTTACCCCTCTTAATGGTTGTTACTTGTATTCTCTTGAAGAGTACAGAGGTTCAAATTTAACCCCTTTTCTCTTCGTATCTCACAAAAAATAAATAAAATTAAAATTAAATTAAGGTTGGAATCACATTTCCCTCTTGGTCTTTGTTAGGATGTTAAAAAAACAAAAAAAAAAAAAAAAAACTTCTTACATACATTGAAGCAAAGAAAATAAAAATAAAACATTATTCGCAGTTTAGGGTTATATTAATATATATCCTAAATACAAACCATGCAGGCTTTAAGTTTTAGGAAGGCTAAAAATATATATATATATATATAATATATATATAACACTTTGGAATTTTATTATTTATTTAGATAAATTCTTATATTTTTATTATACTTAAATAAATTCTTATTTTAATTATATATAAATAAACTCTTATTTCAAATAATTTTGATTTATGTTTAAAGACTTTTTTTTTATACAAATTAAAATTTTATTTAGATACAAAGTAAATGTTAAATACTTATTTGAATGTAAAAATAATTAAAGATTTATTTAAAATAAAATGATAAAGTTTATGAATTTTTTTTTATTATTTTAGTCCTTTAAGATATTGAGATGGAAAATTTTAAACTAATATATATAAGAGTTAAATGACCATGGTATTTTAAATTATTTATGTATTGGAATTTTGGTTTTTGTTTTGATGTTGATTCATAAATTAAACAAAAAACTCTTGAATTAAAATTAAATAAACATTCAAGCACTATCATTTTATTACAATCATTTTATTGTAATTAATTAAACTCTCAAATATTTATTTTTATTAAATTGAAATTTTAAACATTTATTTTAATTTAATTAAACTTTTAATTAGATTAAAATAAATATCGACCGTTAATCAATTTTCATCCAATAAGAACTCAATTAAGTAAATATAAATATTTGAGAGATCAGTTGATTGTCGTAAAACGATAATGCTTAAATGATTATTTAATTTTAGTTGAAAAATTTTTTATTATTAAGCATAAATTGTACTAAAAACTTAATTCATAGTTTCAAACTTTTTACTTGTCTAGCATTGATAATAAGTATTTGGGTTGAGTGCTTTTCACAATTGTAAATCCCCAAATTATAATTAAAGGGACAGGCTTGAAGAACAGATAGTAATTGGCAAGTAGTAGTGTTAACTAACAAGTTTGAGATAAGTACAGTATTAGGGATTCCATTTTTAAGGACTTTGATTCAATTTGTTTGCACTGTTTTTTTTTTTTTTTAAAGAAATTCCAAGAAAGTTGGGAAAGAAAGTGGCTGAGAAAATTCTTGAAAGAAAAAAAGTTAACTGTTCAAAAGAAAAGAATATGAAAGCTGGAAGTGAAAAGCATGATTAATCCTATTTTAATGAAATCTCTAAAAAAGTTAACGAAAATAAAATTTTGGCATTCCAAATTCATCCATATTATACATTTGAAGAGGCTTACTTTACCCTATTCCCTAATGCTATCAAATTGTTAGCCTAACAATCATTTTTAAAACAATCATTTTAAGATAAAATTTTTATCATTAAAATTTAAATTCAAAAATTTTAATTCTGAAATTATTATTAATATTGTTAAATTAATAATTCATTGATAAATTTTTTTTGCTGACAAGGTTATATTGGAAAAAAATTTTCATTCAATACAATATTTTTTTTACTGATCGTAGTTTCAATTTTAGTGTATAAATGGTTTTATAAATAATATGTTAACAAATTTTATTAAATTACTTCAAAAATACTTTGAAAATTACGAAAATAACATTGTACAACTGTTCAAAGACAAAATCATTCCTAACTTATTGAATAAGACTAAACTAGCTTGTCGCATTCGCATAGGGACCACGTTTCTCTTTCTATTTTTATTATTATGTCTAGGTTTAATAGAATTAAATCGAGTTAATATAATAAAAAATTAAGTTTAAATTTGATTTTTAACTCATAATTTAATTTTTAATTTGAATTTGATCGAATTTTATTTTTTTAATTCGAGTTTGATTCGTGATCGAAATTGAACTATTTAAATTCGTTTCATTAAGTTCAATTAATATATAAAAATTAATTCGATTCATATATTCGATAAAAATTCGATTATTTGTGCTCAAACTAAAATTAAAATTTGAGATATTTTATTAATTAAAATAATAAAAATATATTAAATATAAAAATTTGATTAGACTTACCAAATACTTGAATCAGGTATAAGAATATTCGAACTCGATTCAATCGATAAATTAAATTACTCGAGTTCGAACTCAATTCAATAATAATTGAATCAAATTTGAACTTTATTTGAATCGAATCTTAATAATTTATGAGTATTAATGTATCATTTATATTTTTAATTATACTTTTGAGCTCAAAATAAATAAAAATAAATATTTTTTTAATAGTAACCTGACGGGACCTCCACACAAACTCACGTGCATATTGCAGTCTATCCCAAAACCCTGTGAGATGAAGTGAGGGCAGTGGCACCTACCACCGAAATCTGGCTGAGGTACCTACCCCTATAACGGTGGAGCGGGGCCCTTTTGATTCGAATATGCAATACTCAAATAAAAGCCAAATCATGAATAAATAAATAAATAAATGAAGAGACGGACAAAGGTGGCAGACAAGCGGATCTCAATTAAATTGGATTATTTCGGATACGATTATTTTAGGTAAAAAAAATTAAGATGTTTTTCTATTTATGTTATTTTAAATCTGAATTATTTTGAATTTGAATTATTTTAAATTTGATTCATTTTAAAATTTAAATTTTTTAATTCGAATTGCTTTGAATTTAAGTTACTAATTTTTAAAAATAAATCAAATTGAATTTTGAAAGAATTGTTTGGATAAAATCAATAAGATTTTAATGTTACATTTTATCTAATTGAAAGATTTTAATGTTACAATAAAATCAATAATATTTTATGTAATTGTAATAAAGTTTTTTAATGTTACATTTTATCAACTTGTAATATATTTTTAATTTTCATTTTGATATCATAAAAAAATTATCTATGACGTATAATTGTAAAAAAATTTTAAAAAAACTTTTTTATTTATGGGGTATTATCATAGAAATTGAATTTAGTTATAATATTTTTTTTCAAGCTTTTCACTCGTAACTAAGAGGATACTTTTAATTAAAAAAATCTCTAAAGACTAAATGCTTTAAAAATATATAAAATAATTTTAAAGTTAAATATTATTTGATTTTTAATTTTGTTTTATTTATTTTACTATTTTTATTAAACTAATTTTTTTAAAATAAATCATACTTAATTTAAGTTCAAATCATTTTATATCAATCATTTGAATTATTCGAGTTTGAATTAATTCAATTATAGGTTTTTTTTTTTTTGAATTGTTTTGAATTTAAATGATTTTGAATTAAAATTAATTTCGTGTTTGTGTTGCACAAATTCGGGTTGATCACTTTTTTTAGTCAAATCCAGTTGAATTAAGTTATGTTTGAGTTTAAACAAATTGAATGAATTTTTTAAATTCGAATCAGTTCTGACAGCTCTAAAAATGAATAACACAAATCTAAACTATAAGTGTGAACTTGTGTTTTATATTTATAACAGGAACTTATATGGTAAGTTTACATTTTATAATTTTATAATAAGATTAACAAATAATAATCATTAA